TGTGGCTGAAGCCACCATCTTCTGACCACTATTGTGAGGGCAGCAAAGAGGGGACAGGCAGGAGGGACTGGATCCTTGACGACACCAATGAGCAGCTTTCAGATGCTTCCAGAGTGCTTTGTCATGGCGGGCAACAAAACCTCTTGTTTAAACCACTATTTCTGGGGTTGGCGAAGTATATGCCTTTGGCTCAGGCTCAGGTCATGATCTCAGGGTCCTGGGATGGAGTCCTGCATGGGGGGGTGCTCTCTGCTCCCTGGGGAGTCTGCTTCTCTCTCTCCCTCTGCGCTCTGCCCCTCCTCCACCCGGCTCCTACCCCTCCAGTGGAACTAGCCAGCCCCCCCTACCTCTGAGCTCCCTCCTTGACCCACATGCTAATTGCCCAAGTGATTTTTCTACACACCAGTCTGCTTGTTTCCTGCTCAAGGATCTGGGAGCTACAGAACAATGTGTGAGATCCTGAGCATAGGTTCAAGGCCATTGGCAACATGACCCTTGCCAACCACCTTCTGCTCTCATCTCCTCCCCCAGACCCATTCTGTACTGGTGGCTCCCCCAGAGGAATGGGGCACAGACTCCCAGCCCTCCCACACTCATCTCAGAATGTGAAGGCCTACTTATCCTCCAAAACCCATTTCAAATATCCCCTCCTCCATGAAGCCCTCCTCACCCAAATAAACATTCCATCCTCTGTGAGTCCACAGCCTATTGTCTCACTTATGTCTCTATTACATTCTTAGCCTATATTCTAACCACGTATTTGCCAGGAGGACTCAATTCCTTGAGGGCGAAGACGTACTTCAGAGCCCCCAGCGCGCCTCCCGGCACAGTGTTCCGCGTGAGTGATTAGTCAGTTCTCGGTGGAAAAGGCAGCAGTGCAAAACACCTTCTGGTGCTTTCTGTGCAGAAACCACAGTCCCATCCTCCTCAGCACTCCCTGTTCCATCTCCCTCCCACTCCCCATCCTGCCCAGCCTCCCCCCCAACACCACAGTGGGCTGGGGCGGGGGAAGACCTCTGACTTCTCTCCCTTCTCTCTGAGTCTACCCCACCCTCTCCAACTCTGGAGTCAGATTTGAGGGAGGGACAGATCCATGAGGTTCTGGTCACCTTGGCCCTCAGTGAGAGAACTGGACCTGTAGTCAAAGGAATCTGACTTCCGTTTGGCAACATCAAAAACATTTTCTCACATCTGTGAGATCCTCCAAAATCTAAGAAAGCAGATGTCCAGGTTTCATGTAAAATGTAAGCTCCACGAGAGCAGGGCCCTTACCTGTTGTCCTCCACCAAGCCCCCGGGGCCCCACCCAGAGCCCCCGTCTGGAGTGGGCACACCATAAACGCTTGTTGAATGGGAGTCAATCTCAGGGTCATCTGTAAGTTCTTTTCTTTCTTTTTTTAAGATTTTACTTATTAATTTGAGAGAGAGAGAGAGAGAGAGAGAGCACAAGTAGAGGCAGAGGGAGAAGCAGACTCCCTGCTGAGCTGGGAGCCAGACACAGGGCTCGATCCCAGGACCTGGAGATCATGACCTGAGCAGAAGGCAGACCCAACCATCTGAGCCCCTCCCCCAATCGGGCGCCCCTGTTAAGAACTAAGATGCAATCAGCTGTGCTCAGCAGCGGAGGAGAGCCCGAGTGTGTGTGGGGCTCTGATTTATGTCCACGCAGCCTCATTTCCCCCAGCCTCATGAAATGTTATGTTGCCATTAACAATATTGTTTACAAAGGGTTTATAACATGGAAACTGTCTTCTGTTGCAAAGCTAAGAGGGAAACAAAGAAGTAACAATAGAAATGAGTCATATTTATCACACTATCTAAAATCGAACAAAGTTTCAAGCAAGGGCTGGCAGTGAAGAAACAAAATGCTAACAGTGACTGGCCCTTCCCTGCCCCTCATTTTCCTGTTCTCTTTTTTCCAACTTTTGAGAAACATACACACATTACTAATAAGGTGGGAAACAGCCTTTATTTTTCAGAAGAACAGGGACAGAGCTCCAGGCTCAGGACTCACCCTGACAGTGCCTGTCCCACCTCATCCCGCCTCACCCCATCGCCCAGAGATGCCCTCAGGGCGCCCTGGGACAAGGTGGCCCTGGCCTTCCCCACCTCAAACCACAGAGCACTCAGCAAGGGAGTGGCAATCAAGCAGCTCTGTCTATTCCAGACTGGAAAGGGCCCTCCAGGAGGGAGTGCCCCCACCCCCCCAGGTGGACAGCCCCCTCTCTGCAGAGGCCAGGCTTGCCCTGGAGCCCTCAGAGGGCTAATCCTGTACCTCAGGAATTCCCAAGAAGGACTCACAAGGGAATTTCCCAGACAGGCAGACAGACAGACAGCCACCTCAGACATGTCCCGTCACTGAGCACAGATGTTTGCCTGGGGGTAGCAGAGCTGAGAGTGAACTACCGCGCACCACTCAGCGGGGACAGGCTGTCTGCTTCTGCTTCGAGAGCCAGACAAGAGACGCCTGGGCAGGCAGGGGCTGGGACAGGAAGGGAAAGGAGGGGGTGGCCGAGCGTCAGACCGGAAGTGCCCCGTGAGGTCTCCTCCTGGATCGCGGGGTGCCTGCAGCCCTCCTCTAGGTCCAGCAGGCGTCGCCGAGGCTCTAGGCGCAGCAGGGCGAGCCAGGGGGGCGGTGGACAGCACCCAAGCCAGTGGTTGTCTCTCCTGTCCCCTACTGGCCTTAGACTCCCCCTTACCCCCGGTGCCCTTAACACCTGCACCTGAGGTGCCCCATCGAGTCTGACAAACGACCCCCGATGCACGAATACAAGGATCGAAGGGACCAAAAAGGGACCAAAGCCTCAAGCGAGAAAACTGGGGACAGCGCCAAGCTGGGAGAGGCCCCCCAGCTCCTCCCCACCCGGCTGGCCCCAGCCCTGCCCCAGCCCTATACGCAGGCAGAGCGGGAACCGACGTGGCCCCGCCGGGCTGGGCGGAGCGCGCCCAAACCTGCCCGGCCGAGCGGCGCAGCCCAGGGACCCCACACGTTCCCGCCTCCAGGCCCGGCAGTCGGGAAACGGGGGATGTGCCCCAAGCCGTCTCCTGCGGCGGCGGGCAACCCAGGGCCACCCCCTCTGAAGAGCTGCCACCAGCCCTCCCCTCCGTAACCCTCTCCCGGCTTCTTTTCAGAGCAGTGAGTCCCGCAGGAGCTGGGCCCCTTCTGTCGGCAGGGATTTCCCTCCCTCCACGAACACGGACTGACCAACTACCACGTGCGCCAGGTGCCGGGCAGGCGCCGCGGTGGACTAACAGACCCTGCGCTCGCGGAGCGGCGATCCCCGGACACCCGAGCAGGGATCGGGTGATCTCGCCAGGGGTACGTAGGAAGCCCACACCCAGGTGTCCTCCCAGGTGAGCCTGGCGCGCGCGAGGCGCCGCCCTGGGGTGGTGGGCGGCGGACTTCGGACCCGCGGGAGCCTCGCGCCGCACGTCTGCAACCGCCGGGAGGGGCGCGCCACGGGGGGCGGGTGCGGAGACGGCCCCGCGGAGCCAGGCGGGACGCAGACACTCGGTTACGCTCGGAGATGTTTACAGTCCGCGGGGCCGATCTCGCCTCCCGCCGCCCGCGGCCCTCGGAGGCCAGCCCCCGGCCCTCCTCGCCCCGGGCTCCTCCCCCGAGGGACCTCCGCGCCCGACTGGCAGCGGCGTCGCGGCCGCATGTAATTACAGGCGCTGTCGCCAGGCCCGGCCGTAAAAGAAGAGGATGAAACGGCCTGGGCTGCAGGGAGCTGGGCCCGAGCCGGCCGGGAGCCCCGGGTATGCAGCTTCCGGCGAGGTGCAGCGGCGGGGAAGGGCCCGCCAGGAAGGCGCACACGCTCGCCACGCCGGCCGGGCGCGCGGACAGCCACGCAGTGACACACACGAGCCACCGAACGCCCGCAGGCACACGGCCTCGGGCCTCCCGCTCCAGACGCACACGCGAGCCTCGGCCAACACCTGTCCTCCCTCGGGCCGAGCCTGCTCCGGACGCCTGCAGATCCCGGCGGGGAGCGGGGCTCGGGGAGGCCAAGTCCAGCGGGTGGGAGCGCCTGGCGAGGGGGAGGGTCCCGCCGGCCCGGAGCCTCCGCCGCCCGGCCCGGGGGCCGCCGTGCGAGTCCCCGCCGCTCCCCACAGGCCCCGCTGGCCGGTGCACGTTTCCCCTGTGTAGACACGCCATTCACTAACACGAGCACAGGCGTGGTCCCAGTTAGTCACCTTCGGTGAAGGCCCGGACTCTCACACTCCGTTTTCAAAGCCCCTTCGCTCGGTACCCACGAGTGTCGGCGCACACGCGCGCGCACACCCAGGCACGTCACTAGCGCCCTTTGGCGCACTGGAAACGAGAGAGAACGCCCAGGAGCCCGAATGTCCCTCGCTCGCGCTGTTAATGACGGGCAGAGGCGCCCTTAGCTCCAGCCGCACGCGTGACACACTCGATCACACAGGGTCGCACTTTATTCCCGGCATCCAGGCGATGACACAATCTCCCGAACAAAGACAACAGTGACAAACCCAACAAAAACAAACAGCGCGTGTGGGGAAGGGCAGCCGAGCGGAGCCCGGGAAAGACGGGTGGGAGGAGAGTGCGCACGCGGGCGCCCGAGCCTGGGCGTGCCAGGCTCGGGAAAGGTGCGCGGCCTGTGGACGACCTTGCAGCCCGCCAGACCCGCGCGGGCAGCACCACCGGGTCCCGCGCCGCGCGTTCGCACACCTGCCCGTGCAGCTCGTTCCCTTCTCCCGCACGCCACGGAGCCGGGGGACACAGACCCAGCGCCCCGCACAGGCCCACGGGGTCGCCTGCAGAGACGCAAGAGAGCGAAGCCGCGGCGCGGAGCACCTGGGTCGCGGCGGGCGCTCAGAGCAAGCTCGGCTCCGCGGCCCTCCCCTCCCCCACCTCCTCCACCTCCTCCACCTCCCAGCCCCCAAGCTCGGCGGCCGCCGCGCTCCGGGCGGGGTGGGGCGGGGCCGGGGGCGGGCCGGGGTGGCGGGCGGCGCCGGCCCAAAAGGCGGAGTCGCCCGGCGGAGGGGCCAGAGCCGTGCGCGGTGCAGAGGGCGCCGCCGAGACAGCCCGCGGGAGCCCGGACCCGGAGGATCCCCTCGTCCTCGCCCGGCCGGGCCAGGCCCAGCGCTATGGAGTTCCTCTGGGCCCCGCTCTTGGGTCTGTGCTGCAGTCTGGCCGCTGCTGACCGCCACACCGTCTTCTGGAACAGTTCAAACCCCAAGTAAGCCCCGAGTCTCCGGCCGGCAGCCCTGGTGGCACTGCCCACCCCGAGCCCCCTGGCCCCGGTAACTGTCCCGGCCAGACCCTGACCAGGGGCGGGAGGGACTCCGTAGACTTTTTTCCTCTCCCTTCTCCGGGGGGAGCACCCCACCCCTGGGCAGGAACCTTCCCGTGACTACTTGCACAGGGATCTTTCTGCCCTTCCTTTCCTTCTCTCGGGCACCTCTGTTACCCTGAAGTGAGGGCCGCTTGCTGAACAGTTCCTGCCGGCCAGGGCTCTTGTTTTAGGCCCTTCTGCCACAAGCTTCTGTGTGTCACTTGGACATCTGCCCACATGGACAGGTACCTGATGTGACATCAGGCGTAAGCAGAATGGTCACTGCAATCCTGGAAGGACCCCTCAGCGGGCCCCTCAGGCCCCCTCAGGACCTGGCCTTCCCACTTTTGGCGTCTGTGTTCTGTGTTTGAGATGATCCTGGGGAGCCCCCCCCACACAAGGCGTCTTCCCAATCGGCATAACAGGGGCACATGCGGTGTGTACATAGGCTGAGGGAGTCACCTGTTTATGAGATGGGGGGCAGAGGGAGGGCAGGGGAAAGGCTCAGAAGGAGTGGAATGGGTTAAAAGGGTGACAGAGGGCTCTGGGAAGGAAGGAGTTAATTTCTCCCGGGCAGGTTTAGAGCTGGGAGGCAAGTGGTCTTGGGAGGAAGAAGCCCCTTTGGACCCTTTGTTCTTGCCCTTGAGTTTTCTGAAGTTAAGGGAACAATATCTGTGGGAAGAGGGGAGAGGGGGGCAGGGTGGAGCAGGGAAGGGGGCTGGGCTGCTTGGGGTCAGGAAAAACACTCCACTCAGCTTGGCCACCCCCAGCCCTAGCACGCCTGCCCCCGCCTTGAGAAAAATGTTGTGCCAGCCTCCTCTGACCCTGCGGCCACACTGCCTGGTGGGGGTCTGTGGGCTGGGGCTTGTGGGTCTGGGAGGGAACAGCCAGCTGCCAACCCCGGAGGCCAGTGCCCTTTTGCCCACTGGCCACAGGGGCAGCCGGGTCAGCCCTCTCCACCGTCGGCTTCCTGTTCTTCAGCTCCTCGCTCCGATCTTGTCCTAGTGGGAGAGAGCGAAGTCCCTGTTTATGCCCATGCCAGGTGCTGGCTGGAAGAGGAGGAGGGGCAGGAAGCCATGAGTAGGGAGGGGGGAACCTGGCCTTTTCCGTTCCCAAGCTCCCAGATTTCCTCTCTTTCAGGAAGGAGCCTCTTCCTTGCCCCCCTCCCGGCCTTCCCTGACGCCGCTGCTGCCCCCCTTTCCCAGACGGGGAGCCAGAGTCAGAGGAGCGCTGAGTGGAACAGACTGTACTCCCAAGAGGGCAGTCATGGGTGCCCCCAGCAAGCACAGCTTCTGCCCTGTCCATCTGGCCTCACGTGTGCACACACACACACACACACACACACTCCTCCAGCCCCAGGACTGAAGAGAAGCCAGGCAGAGTGCCGCGCACAGGCGGCCAGGCCGGCTCAGCTTGCAGCACTGATGAGGGGGCGAGGAGCTGGTTGGGGGTGAGGCCGGCCAGGGTGACTCAGGGCAGTGGGCATCAGCGGGATCTCCAGGCCCCAGGCCCCAGGCCCGGGCGCGGGGGGGGGGGGGGGGGGGGTGGTGCGCAGCTGGGGCAGGAGGGCAGGGCTGCCGGGAGCCGCGCCCCGGGCTCCTCGGTGCTCCGCCCACTCAGACCTGCCAGCTGCTTGGGCCTGCAGGATCGAACCCGGCACAGGGCAGGTCGTGGCCCCGGGGTCGGCGGGGGGGGGGGGGGGAGGCCCGCGGGGGGAGGGAGATGCTCCCAGGTTCTCATGAGTGCTGGGGCGGGTGGCAGGGGTGGATGAGGAATGAGTCAGTGCCCGTCACGGGAATGGGGGAAAGACGCCAGGCCCAGAGCTGAAATACCTGTTCTGAAATGGCTTCTCTGTTTATCTCTCCAGAGAGGAATTTTAAAAGCCTCTCCCTCACTCGCGCGCCTCCTCCCCTCCTCCTCCGCCACCGCGACTCCCCCCTCGCCGCGTCCCCGTGGGGGAGGAGCCCGGGGTAGCCGGGCGAGCGCTGGCACGCTGCCCCCAGGCCCGGCGCGGTGGGGGAAGCGGGGGGGGGGCCGCGGCCGGGACAAGGGGTGCCCACCCCAGAGGCCTCCCGCCGAACTCCTGCCCTCCCCCCAGCCGGGCCGCCGCGTCGGTTGGCAGCCAACAGTGCTGAGTCCCGCTGGCAGCGCCGGGGAGTTCAGAGCCAATGACCCGCTCGGAGGGGGGCGGGGGAGGCCCCTCGCCCGGCGGGATACCGCCCGGCCCCGCTGGAGCCAGGTGTCGGGGCCGCCCGGCTGGAGCCCGAGGGGCCTGCGGGAGGGAGCTGGCTGCCCCAGGGCTGGCGGGTGGAAGAGGAGGCCTCCCACCGAGGCCTCCAGGCGCTCTTCCTCGGAGGGGGCAGCGTGGCTCTGGAAGTAAAGGGACTGGGAGGTCTGGGGTGCTTTGGGAGAAGCGGACAAGGAGGCCTGAGCCCAAAGCCGAGGAGCCGGCAGGGGATTTGCTGTGGGCCCGACGTGCTGGGGATGGCGGTTCAGTTGACCCTTGTGAATGCACCCAGGGGCTCGGGCTGGGGGGTGGGGGCGACGGCCAGGAGTGGGGGACCCCAAAGCCGCAGGTGCTGCAAGAGCCGGGGTTCCTTGGCCCCGATTGCCCGGAAGGGTCTCAGACTGAGGGCTGACAGCATTTTAAAGAGCCACTGGGAGAACAGTTTTGGGGAAGTGCTTCCCGGAGAAGAGCAGGACACCGCCAGGGGCCCTTCCGTGGGCGACGACGTGGAGGCCAAGTGCAGTGCTTTGGTACCCGAAGGGCACTAAAGCAGACACTACTTAGAGGGTGAGCAAGAGGTAGTGCTGGGGGCAGGCGTGTTTGAAGATGGTGTAAAGATCCCGAAGAGGTCAAGAGCCATAAATATGGAGAGCTGGGATTCTGGAAAAATCTTCACGGGGCCCAGGGAACATTTGGAAGCGCGCAGCCCCAGCCGGGCCCCCGAGTGACCGCCGGCTCTCTCCCGCCGCGCCCCCGCAGGTTCCGGAGTGAGGGCTACACGGTCCACGTGCAGCTAAATGACTACCTGGACATCATCTGCCCGCATTACGAGGACCACACGGTGGCCGAGGCTGCCATGGAGCAGTACACCCTCTACCTGGTGGAGCTCGAGCAGTACCGGCTGTGCCAGCCCCTGTCCAAAGACCAGGTCCGCTGGCAGTGCGACCAGCCCAGTGCCAGGCACGGCCCAGAAAAGCTGTCGGAGAAATTCCAGCGCTTCACGCCCTTCACGCTGGGCAAGGAGTTCAAGGAGGGACACAGCTACTACTATATCTGTGAGTCCTCGGTTCGCGTGCCGGCCGCCTGGGGCCAGGCCAGCGGGAGGCACGTGCTCGGCACAGCCGCACATGGCTCCTTCCCATCCCGAACTGTTTTCATGCATTCGTGGGACAGCGTGGCATGAGCTGCTGTGTATGAGGCGCTCCACTCTGCACAGCAGGCACAGAGATGAAACACTGTAGGGTCCCTGTCCTCCAGAAAGCTGGAAAGTGACACACACGGGGCACTGACCATTAGAACAGCGGGCTACGAGGATTCATAGCCTTGGGGAAGTGACGTGGGTCCTGCTGGGCTCTGGAGGCTCAGGGACGTGTTCCTGGGGCAGATGACCCAAGAGCTTAGGACAAGCAGGGACTCTGGCTAGGCACAAGGGGACATGTGCAGAGGGACCATGACGTCTTCAGGGAACTCCACATGGCTCGGTCTGGCTGCAGCAGGAGGGACCCTGGCAGTGGGAAGAAGTGGACAGGGCTCATCACGGGGGCCTGGGAAGTGCGAAGGAGTTTGGACTCGGTCCTAAGACCAGTGGAGAGGCCCTGGTGGCTTCAGGAGTTAGAAGATCTGCTCAGTGGGGCCTGGCTAAGGGAAGCATCGTGCGAAGGCATCCGCCAACTTCAGGGTGGGGCGAGTGAAGGATGGACTGTGGCAAGAGGACAGGGTCTGTGTGCTTTTTAGCGCCACCTCCAAATCCAAGAGTCATTGCAAAGAGTGGGAGCTTAAACAGGAGGCAGAAAGGGGGCAAACAAGGAAGGTGAGACTCACAGATGAGCGGGAAGAGGGGCATTTGCACTTGTGTTTCCTCCCAAAGACGTTTCCTCCCTTAATGCTCTGCCTGGGTCTGTCTTGCAGCCAAACCCATCCACCTCCAGGAAGACCAGTGCTTGAGGCTGAAGGTGACCGTCAATGGCAAAATCAGTGAGTGTCAGAGCCCTGTGCGCCTCCTTCCTCCAGCTGTGTGCGGGGCCTGGGCTAGCGACCTGGGGTGGCAGGGTAGTCCCGCCCACTCACCTCCCCCGGACAGGCCCTGATCAGCCACCACTCCTCCTTTCAGCTCACAGTCCTCAGGCCCACGTCAACCCCCAGGAGAAGAGACTTCTGGCAGGTAGGTAGCTGGAGCAGACTGGGCCTGGGGTCTGCTCACGGAGGCATAGAAGGCGGCTCCCTTGCCAGGCGGGGGCTGGGGGAACCACGTGGAGCCGGGGGCCAGGGCCGCAGTAGGGCTGCTCACCTTGGGCACTGGCCGCTCACCTTGCAGATGATCCAGATGCACAGGTTCTCCACAGCATCGGTCACAGTGCTGCCCCCCGCCTCTTCCCACTGGCCTGGGCTGTGCTGCTTCTGCCACTGCTGCTGCTGCAGGCCCCGTGAGAGGGTGTGCCACATCTGACCTGATGATCGAACGGGGCTAGGAGGCAGGACAGAGGCGTCCCTCACCTGTCCTGGGAACCGTTCCCGCCACAAGCACAAGCTGCCACTCAGCAGCCTCAAAATGGGTATTAAGGGTTTGACCCAAAGGAGCTCATCAAAGCTGCCAGTGCCTTCCCTGGCTCCACCCCCAGGGACAGACAAAGAAGTGGGGACAGTCCTTTCCCCACCATTCCTGACCTCAAGCCAAAGAAACGAGCCATGCGGACATGGCCTCTTAAGAAGAGCACTGTAGGGGCCGAGCTGGAAGGGGCCTGGGGCCACGAAGGCGGACACTGAACTTGGCAGAGATGCCCCTCCAGAGAGAGCCGGGATGCCCAGATGAACTGACCGACAGAAAAGCACAAGACGGTTCCATGCTTGGGAGCCAGAGAGCAGAGAGGCAGCGTGCTTGGGCTGACCCAGCGTCTCTCCCGAGGCTTCAGGAAGTCTTTGGAGCTGCCATGGAGAGGTCTGTAACCAGGCACTGCATCCAGTCCCAGCTGGGGGCAGCACTGCCCAGAGCGGTGCCCGCAGGGGGGCTGTGCCACCCCATGCCTAGAGTGTAGCTGCAAGGGCAGGGCCCACGCGTACAGGATCTGTACATAAACTTAATATGTGTCTGTGATTTCTACAACTGGAGTTTTTTTATACAGAAAAATAAAGCAATCTTGTTTCTTTATTTGGACATGCTTGTCTGCTCCCCCACCCCCTCCTAATTTAGGACCACTGAGTCCCCGCCATGTGCTAGGCTCTGTGGGACACCAGGTAGCAACTCGGCTTCAATTTTCTTCCTTCCCTCTGGAAAGAATACATGTGCCCGGCCAGCACCGAAGGCTGGGGTGCTTCCTCCTCTGTGCGCCACGCGGCAGTCTCTGGGGCTCCAGGCTGCACCCCACTCCGGCAGCGCTGGGCTTTGGCAAACTGTTAGGGGCTCCTGCTGTTGAATGCGTCAGGGGGACGCCGGCTGAGGCACGGCCGGCCGCCTGGTCCCACAGCCGCAGCAACCGGGGCGAGTGGGCCGTGGGCGGCTGCAGGGAGAGCGGTCAGCAGCGGGTCCTGCCGGCTGGACTGGGGGGGTCAGCGGCAGTGCTCCAGCCCACCGGCCCAGTCACCCGAAGTTGGCAGTGTGCGGAAGGCAGAGGGCCTGACAGACTGTGATTCCCAGCAAGCCCCCTTATTTAGGGGAGACGCTGGGAAGAGGCTTCAACAAACCAGGGGAGAGCCTGGGCAGGTGAGGTTGCCATCTGGGCTCCGGGCGGAACAGGTCCGGCAACTGAGGTCGGCCACGACGGCTCACGCGCCAGAGACTTGAGGATGGGGTCCGGGTGAGTCGGGGGGTGAGCGGAGAGCGAGGGGCGGCGGCTGTCCGTCCTCTCGAGGGCGCGGACCGCAGGGGCGGGGCCTGGCGGCGGGGGCGGGGCCTGGTTCCGGCGGGACGTCCTGTGGGCGGAGCTGCGGGTCCATTTCCGGCGGACGGCGGCGCGCGGGGGGAGGGGCCCCGACGCAGGGGCGGGGCCCCTCCGGCGGCGCGGGCTCCTGCCCCGTAAGCGGACGCGGCCGCGGGGCCCAGGATCCGACGCAGGGGGAGATGGAGGCCGGCGGCGCGGCCGACTCGCTCCTCTCCGGAGCCTGCGTGCTCTTCACCCTCGCCATGTACTCCACCGGCCTGTGAGAGCGCGGCCGGGCGAGGCTGGGCAGGACTGGAAGTCAGGAAGGGAGAGCGGGGACAGAGAGGTGGCCGCAGCTCCGGGCTGCATCCGAAACCTCGGTCAAAGTGGCTTCGGGTCGAGGGATCCAGGGCACATGGTTGAGGCTGGGCACTTGAGGGAGAAGCCAGAGAGCTGCGGGCGGGGGCGGGACCTGCAGTTGTCCGAGGACGACCACAGGCATCGGGGATCTCGACTCCCCAGCAGCTCGGTTCTCCCTTCCCATCTCTCACCTCTGCTTTCGGCGCCCGTTACAGCTCGGACCTCAGGCAAATGCGGACGACCCGGAGCGTGGACAGTGTCCAGTTCCTGCCCTTTCTCACCACCGACATCAAGTGAGACGGGCGACGTTTGCGGCGGGAAAGGTTGGGGGGGGACGCTGAAGAGGCCCCTTGGGGTCCCCCTCCCATCCTCATCCCCGTGGCGAAACGACCCTCCTGTCCACCCTGCAGCAACCTGAGCTGGATGAGTTACGGGGCCTTGAAGGGTGACGGAACCCTAATCTTCGTCAACGCCACGGGCGCCGTGCTTCAGACCGCGTATATCTTGGTGTACCTGCACTACTGCCCTCGGAAGGTAGAGCCCTCCCGCGGACCCGCCTCTCTGCCCCGCGCCCTGCCGGGCTTCCCAGAATGGTAGGAGAGGCCGGCACTGCCACCTTTTCCTGGAAGGCCCTGCAGCCTGGCAGTCCTCCTTCCTCCGTGGAGCCGCCGTCTGACACTCACAGAGCACCGCGCCCCGCGTTTCTGGCAGGCTGGTAGCTCTGCCCGGCCTGATGGTGCCTTGCCGCCCAGCTAGCTGAGGGACTGTGCATGTCTCTGATAGTTCCTTCAGTCAGGCCCAGTGGCTGAGAAATGAGCTGATTAGCTATGCTTCCCCAATCATACCAGCATTTATTAAGTTACTACTGTGTGTACCAAATTCACACGGAAAACAAAAACAAACCTCTTCTCTCCTAGAAGCCGCTAGCGCTGTGGGGGATGGGACATGTGTTTGTCACTGGTGGGAAAGAGGCTTAGCCCAAGGTCAGTGGGTCCAAGAGGGCTGCTGGAAACATCTAGAAGGAAGGCTACTGTCTCCCCTGCAGCGACCGGTGCTCCTCCAGACTGCGACCCTGCTGGGGGTCCTTCTCCTGGGTTTTGGATACTTTGGGCTCCTGGTGCCCAACCTGGAGGCCCGGCTCCGGCAGCTTGGCCTTTTCTGCAGCATCTTCACCATCAGCATGTACCTCTCACCACTGGCTGACTTGGTGAGTGGGCGCTGTCCGGGGAAGTGGGGGCAATGAGGAGGGTCAGGGTCCCTTAGCCGGAGGCTGTAGCTTACCCTCCGGAGGAGGGAAGATCCTGGAAGACAGGGCAGTAGTGGTAGGTGAGTGGGAGGCAAGAGGGAAAGGCGAGGTAGCAGAAGATCAGAGAGGAGTTTGACCCTTTTTCTGAGGAAATTCGTAGACAAGTGGGAGCTCTACGGTGTGTCTGGAATAGGGGTCTTCCAACCTCGTTCCACAGGCCAAGATCATTCAGACAAGATCAACCCAGCGTCTCTCCTTCCCACTCACCATTGCTACCCTCCTCACCTCCGCCTCCTGGACCCTCTATGGGTTTCGGCTAGGCGATCCCTACATCATGGTAAGCTGAGCAGAGCGGGACGGGTGACAGGTGTGCACCGTGGAGAATCAGCCCCTCTCCTCACAGCAGCCCTTGTGACCTCAGGTGCCCAACCTACCAGGGGTCCTCACCAGCGTCATTCGCCTCTGGCTTTTCTGGAAGTATTCCCGGGAGCAGGACAGGAGCCACCCGCTCTTGCAGACCTGAGGGAGTTCACCCGACCCCTGGGCACCTTAAGGCCAACCTGCTACCAAAGAGGGCTTGTTGCAGCTGTTTCTGCTGACTGGCTCCATGAGCACAGCGGGTTGTGGAAAGGAAAAAGACGGCTCTGAGAACCGAGGGACCAAAGAAAGTGTTTTGCTTGGAAGATTGGCTGGGACTTGGGAGATGAATCACTTATTTTTTATAGATTATATTTTTAAATTGTGGACCTTGAGGTGAAATCCTTAGAATGTGCCTTAAAATAAATCATTCCCACCCCTGCCCATCAAAGCGTAGTCTCTGTTTGGTGATTCTCAACCTGTCTGCTCTGGTGACGGGCAGAAGGTGCACTGCCCAATCCACAGTTGTTCCACGGGCTGGGGTCGGCTCAGAAGACGAATCTGAAGGAACCAGGATGGCGAAGAGCCCTAGGAAGGCCTTCACAGATCGGAGCCTGGGCATAATGAACAGAATTAGGACTTCCAGAAGTCCTTCCTGTCGGGGTCAAAAGGACCAAGAAAGTGAGATGACAGTTCCCTCTCGAGAGGTCTTGAGTCGGGGCCTTTGCCTCCTTCGGAACAAGGAAGGAGGCGGGACACAGACAAGGATGCTTAGATAAAAGCGGAGGTGACCCCAGGAAGGCGCCCCCTCCCCCACGGCTGGGACACGGAATCCCCAGCTCCCGCTCCCCATAAACGAGACGGAGTTAGAAAATAAGCTGCTCTTTAATGGGCGGCGGGAGAGAGGCTGCGGGGGAACAAGGCCGGGGTGTCAGAAGCGCAAGCCCCTGCGCGCCAAGTCGGCCCGGGCCTCCTGGATCTGGCTCTGCAGCTCGCGAGCGGCGTCCTCACAGTCATGGAAAGTGGCCACGCGGTAGCCCACAGTGCCCAGGGCGTAGCAGCCGGCGGACACCAGCAAGTAGGCCGGCAGCGGCCACAGCACCTCCCGGCATGACGAGGGCAGCTCCAGGCCCAGGGCTCCCGTGGTCAGAGCCGCCCAGGTGGAGCCCAGGAGCGCCAGTCCCCAAAGCCACTGCGCTAACTTCGTCATGGGCACTGCGGGGAGAGAAAGCGGGGCTCGCGGTCCCTTCCGCCCCGCCACCCCTCTCTGCCTGAGATCAGTTCTCTGTCCCCCTCACCCACCCTCCGTAACAGCTGCCCCCAGGACCGCTCCGCTGCGGCTCGCACCCAGCTAGCGCCCCGCTTTCGGGCCTCACCCCGCACTCACCTCCGCCGCTGTCCTCCCAGCCCCGCGCGGCTCCGACGTCAGCGTCCGGAAGGCCTCTCGGCTCGCGCGGCCTTCTGGGAGTTGTAGTCCGCGCGGAGGCGGCTCTCGCGCCCCCTGCGCGCGGCCTTCTGGGAGCTGTAGTCCGTGCGGTGGTTCCTGGGGGAGGGGCGGCCGCCGCGTGAGTGGCCGCTGCGTTGGGCGAGCGGCGGATTGCGGCCCGAGGGCCCGGGGGCTCCGGTGTCGCTTCTGTCCCTCGGGGCCCCGCCTCCCGCTGGCTGGCGTCCTGCCGAGGACAGCCTCAAACTTTGCAAGGAGATGGGCATGTAATCCGGTGCACGTCTTCTTCCCTTCGCTGGACGTTCCGTGGTCACCGGGCTGGACCTCGGAGAAACGGAGCCGCGCGCGCCCCCTGCCCGGAGCAGAGGCCTGGACCACTGACCGCGGCGCCTCGAGAGCGCTCTTAGGACGGGGTCGTCGCACCTGTGAAGAGACGCGGGGAGCCGCGGTGCCGCCCGCAGCCCGGGGTGCGGGGGCTCCCAGGAAAGACGCGCGTGGGGCCGGGGGCCACCTGCGGAGTCGCGGGTGTGGATCCGGCGGGGTTCGGGGTGGGTTCGCGGCGGGCGCGCTGGCAGGGCCCGGCGACGCTGGGCCTCAGGGGAAGGGCACGGACGACAGCTGCCCACGGGGGACCCCCCCGCCCCGCGCCCCGGGCCGCCCCTGCGGCTGACCGGAGCACACCCGGGAGGCGCGGGCCGCTCAGCAGACCGGGGAACCGGCCAGAACGGGGTGTGGGGAAGGACCGAGCTCAGCGCGGAGTTAAAGGCGGGTTCAAGCCGAGCGTGAGTTCGGCGACGGCATCGGCAAGCCTGGGCCGAGCCGGGGCCGAGGGTCCACCTGGTAACTACGAAATTAAGGTAATTAATTTAGAGAATTATGTAATAGATAACTACGTAATTAAGATAAACACAGAGCGTCGCGTCCAGACGCCCCCACTTGAGGCTTTGCGCGGAGGGAGGAGACGGAGGCCGCCGCCGGCCGAGCGACCCGCCGCTCAGAGCTGGCCGCCCTGGGGGCTCCAGATTTCGGCGACCCGCGCCTCTCAGCCGCCCGCACCTGATGTTAACTGACAAAAGCAGTTTGTGCGGAGGCGCAGTCTCGGTAGGGGCGGGGTAGCTCCGCTGGAGACTGCTTTCCCCGCCCTGATCTGCAAGCGCCGAGCACGGAGGGGAGGAAACTCGGGGATGTACTTGAATTGAGTGGGTGGGGGAGGGGAAGGTATGAGGGGGTCATGGGTAAAGAGAGGATTAAAAACCATTTGCATTGGCAGGCGGTCAGTTCTGTCTAAAATGGAAGAGAGGAAATAAACGTATGAGCACTTGACTAAGAAATATGATGTGTACCCAGGGAGGCCGCCAAGAACCCCGGGCGGGGCTTACGGAGCAGTGCGCAGGAGAACTGGAGAGCAGGGGCCGGGGTTTTTCATTAAGTGCCTTCGGAAAACGAGTTTGCTTTTTACACTATGCAAATTCTGTTGTTAAAGCAAAAAGACAAAAACCTTTTCTAAAAATTTGCTGTAAGGGGGGCGCCTGGGTGGCTCAGTGGGTTAAGCCTCTGCCTTCGGCTCAGGTCATGATCTCAGGGTCCTGGGATCGAGTGCCGCATCGGGCTCTCTGCTCAGCTGGCAGCCTGCTCCCCGCTCTCTCTGCCTGCTGCTCATCTTAAAAAAAACCCTTTCAGATTAAAAAAAATTTTTTTGTTATAAGAGGGGCACCAGGGTGTCTCAGTGGGTTGAGCATCTGCTAAGGGTCTGCCTTCCGCTCAGGTCATGATCTCAGGGTGCTGGGATCAAGCCCCACGTTGGAGTCTCTCTCCTCACCTCTCCCTCTGTCTGCAGCTCCCCTTGTTTGTGCGCTTTCTCTGTCAAAAAAGTAAATAAAACCTTTAAAAAAATTTTTTTTTTTTTGCTATCTGAACTTCAAAGCCCCCCTCCACCCACTTCCTTTTCCATCTGAAATGCTCCTAGTTGTTCACTCAAGACCTCCCTGGTCATAATCCCTTCCAGAGCCGTTCAGCGGTGAGCTGTCAGCTCTGTAGATCCAGAAATTCTGTTCGTCCATCCCCAGTAGACCTGCCCAGAAAGACTGCCACTCCCAAGAACAGTTTTTTGGGGAAAGATAATGAGGAGGAGTTTGCCCTACAACACATAAAGACAGATAATAAATTACAGCATTATAATAATAATCAGAAAAATAAACATTCATTGAAGGGCTATGATATGTTGTGCCCTATGGGACATTGTCGTGTTTAATTTTCACAGAATGTTGCAGTAGATCCTTTCTATGACCATATATAAATGAAGAAGCTGAAACAGATGGTGAATGGTAACTTGCCCAAGGTCCGGCAGATAGTGAGTAGAAGAACCATGCCATCCTTCTCGAGGCTCGGTGCTTAGTGGTTTCAACCTCCTGGTTCCTGGTCCAGGAGGGGGCAGAGAGGGGTCATCACTGCAACTGACATTCGCAGACTGAGTGCTGTCGTGCATTGTCTCATTCAGTTTTCACAGGCCCATATGGAGTGGGGACTGTATCTCCATGTCACAAATGAGACCATGACACAAACCCCACATAACGTGACCTCTGAGCTTGCCGACTCTGCCACCCCAGTATAGCGCTTCTCTCCCTAGATCAGTGCATCACAATAAAAAGTGAAGAAATAGATTTTTGAAAATGTACCAATTTGCATATAATAGAGATGGCAGCTCTAGCAAGTAAGGGAAGACTAAGGATTTAAAAACCATTTGCAACTAGCTTACCATTTGAAAAAGAAAGTTGAAAAAAAAGCCACCCAGCTCCTGGGTGGCTCAGTGGGTTAAGCCTCTGCCTTCCACTCAGGTTATGATCTCAGGGTCCTGGGATTGAGCCCCACATCGAGCATCAGGCTCTCTGCTCAGCAGGGAGCTTGCTTCCCTTCTCTCTCTCTCTGCCTGCCTCTCTGCCTACTTATGATCTCTGTCTGTCAAATAAATAAATAAAATCTTAAAAAAAATTAGGGACGCCTGGGTGGCTCAGTTGGTTAAGCAGCTGCCTTCGGCTCAGGTCATGATCCCAGCGTCCTGGGATCGAGTCCCGCATCAGGCTCCTTGCTCGGCGGGGAGCCTGCTTCTCCCTCTGCCTCTGTCTGCCTGTGCTCGCTCTCTCTCCCTCTCTCTCTGACAAATAAATAAAATCTTTAAAAAAAAATTAAAAAAAAAAGAAAAGAAAACGGGGGTCCCTATTTCTCTGTGTTCCACTCAAGCTTCATGTCCTTCAAGGTTGCAGGGTTGGCCACCATCTTCCTCCTCTGAGCACCCGGGCTCTTTCCACAGCTCGCACTAAGCGTGATCAGTTTTTCTTCCCTGCGCGGCTCGCCCAGGGACAGTGTGGCTCCAGGACCCAGCACTGTGTGAGAAACCTAACAACGCTTCTCTAAAAGTAAAGCCGAAGGGACAGAGGGAAGGACAGGTTCCCATCTCATGGTCTCCAGGGAGACCGGCCCAGCTCTCCTGGTCCCAGGAACTAGAACTACTACTCCAGAGACTCCCACCTGTTGCACACAGCGTCCTTGGCCATGGATAGTGCTCAGCAGAAGCCGGCAGATTCTTACCGTCCAACTCCTTCCCCTTCAGTCTTTTTGCAGACCATCCCTCTTCTGGAGCCATAGGACATGCTACACGTGATTATAGTAGCGTATGAGAAGCACTATGTCTCAGTAGATAAAAGTTTGGGCTTTTAGGGGTGCCTGGGGGGCTCAGTTGGTTAAGCTCCGAGGCTTGATCTCAACTCAGTTCCT